TTATGTCACACATTTAGGGGCGAGGGAGGGGGGTCCATACAAAAAATGTGACAAAGGGGGGAGGGGAGGTTAAAAATTGGCCAAATTTGCGTGACATAATTAATGGACCATCCCTTGGGGCTGTCACTGGAAGTGTTGCCGGATCTGTGAGGCTTGTAACCGATAAGCATTGGTTTAGCTAGAAAATTTATCTAGAGGGGGCCGAAGGGGGGCCTGCAGCACTTTTTTAATTTTGCAAAACTACGGTTTATGAAAAACTCACTCAAGTTGCGTCCAAAGTAACTTATTTTTGGGTACATTTTTTTTCTGTGACCAATAATATGACATTGAGGGTTACTACTATTTTAATGGTGAAACAATTAATTTTGATTATATTTATTCCATAACAACGATTGGGACCTCGATTGGGAGATCCTTAAACGATGACTGATTTTGAACAAGCAATGATCGTTTGTTCATGTTTTTGTAATAAAATCACAGTCCGGATCTTGTAAATGTAAGCATCTCAAACTTAAGAAAATTCTCAGGGTTAGGTAATTTCATGAATTTTGTAACTAGATTTTTTTTATTTTGAATATATCACCATCAGTCAAACCTCAGACAAAGCAACCGAAATTAAATTGTAGGAGTTTAAATTTTATAATTTTATAAAATTCTGGCTGTTTCAAGGTAAAGTGCACACAGAATAAATTTGTGTGGGTGATTTCTATATAGGGGTACACTTTGTAAAAACTGAAAATGGAACATGGAACGAAATTATGCAAGATTTTGAACGTTAATAACTCAGCTGCTCTTGGACCAATTTCAATAATTTTATCACCAATCGATCAGAAATATTTCTACGCATCGATAGCAATGCTGTTGATTTTAAACAAGAAATTATTTAAAAAATGGGAAATGTCAAGCATATTATCATCATAAGCTCATATCATAGGCTTAGACAAGTTTTTAATCTCCTGGTCTTCAAAATTCCTTATTCAAGATCTTAGGAAACTTACCTAGATTCTGAGCCTCACAGCATTTCTCGAGAGAAAAATTGTTCGAGATAAGAAAGTAAGAAACATTAGGAATCAAAAATTTCGAAAAATCTTGACATATGGGGGTAAGTAATAAAGCATTTATCCAGAACATTTTTTTTTAATTTTAGAACTAACTTACAAAATCAAGATTTAACTATATTTCTAATCGACAGGATTGAACTCAAAACTTGCATGATTGTGTTCCTGTTTATAACTAGATAGTAATTTAACTTATTTTTGCAAAATTTTAGATGTTTTTAATATTTTAAATTTAGTTAGTTGTTGTTAAACCCATTTGGTATCAATTTATTATTTACACGTGCATTATACAGGAAAGAGCTTTTTCAGGTAATTTAATAAAAAAAATACACACAAAAAGTACGGAATTTTTTATGTGCTTATCCATGCAAATTATCCTTCTGCTGAATTCTGTATGCCCAGATGTCGAAAAGAAAGAAATTTATACATATTAGGTATATGCAGAAATTGAAATTTCCGCCCGGAACTTAGCTGCTGGAGGTAGAGATGAACTAGCCTAAGGCTAAAAATCTCTTTAATAAAGCCTTAAAAAAAAAAAAAAACTGCTGGAGTGCAAATTTGTGATAAAATAGCTAAAACACCAAGACACGGGTCTTCTCTATAGAGAATGTACAAATTTGGCCATAAAATCAAGATTCATCATTCAAGATTCCATCTGATTGCATTAGCTGGAAAACTTTTGAATACTTCCTGATCACCCTACAACCTACCAAATGTCCAGTGAACTTTACTAATATCTTGGACTATATGGAGATCTTTCGAATATTTCCTGATGTCTACGAAGGATGTTTAAAAGAATGTCCTATAACTTATGCAACGTTTCCTGAACATCTACATAACTTAGGTTTTACAAAATTTTCTTTGAAGTTCCCTGATCCAAATTCCATATTTTTTTTTTCCATTTCTTTAAATTCTTCAAAGATCTCTGAACATCTTTGCACTTCTGGAAAGACACTTAAGACATCTACAAATATCCTTGAAGTTCCTTGAGTTTAGCAAAGTTCCCAAAACCTCCAAGAAGTTCATGGAGCTTTTTTGGAGTAAGATCTCTGATAAACTGCAACGAAGTGCCCTAAACTGAAGCGAAGATCCCTGAAGTTCTTAGAAGTTTGTTAAACAATTTCTAGATCTCTTAAAAAATTCCCTGAACTTTTTTAAAATTCCTTACACTTACACACTTAGATTTTTTTGCCGTGATTGGCACCACGAAGCAGGCTCAGCATTTATTTTTACTGAGATCTCAGCAAAATTTATGTTTGTTAGACGAGATCTCGGCAAAATTTCCGTTTGTTAACTGAATCTCGGCAAATTTTTCACTGCAATCCAGCAAAATAGATTGCCGAGCTGCTCGGTGGTGTCGGCAAAAAAATCTAAGTGTGTATATGAAGTTTTACGCAGCTCCTCAAAATGCTACGAAATTCGAAAATCTTCTACAAAGTTTGCTGTTGAATTTCCACAACTATTCCAAGTGCATGAAGGCTAAAGAAAAATTATGAAATTATGTAGAGGTTCCCGATCAATACTGAGCTTCCCTAAACTAAAATAATGTTCCTTTAACTTCTACGAAGGTCCTCAAATTTAAATGAATTCTCTACTTCTACGCAGTTTTCAGAACTTTTCCAAGTTCCTTTTTTCTACGAATTTTTCTGAAGGTCTATGAATTTCCCAGAATTTCTACCAAGTTTACTTAATTTCTACGATCTTTTACGAAGTTTCTACAAGTTAAAGAAAAATTCCATGGCCAATTTGTAGAGCCTGAAGACGTCTTATTGCCATCGATTTGATATAATATAATTTCTCAAAATTGTTTCTTCTAGTCCAGAATATAACAAAAGTAATCAACATTATGGACTTTAAAAATTCTTTGTTGGTGCATTGAACTTAACAAGCTTGACAAAATACCGGTGAGTCAAAAACAAACACCATAAAAACAGGTACAACAGAAATTGAGAACTTCCGTAGATAAGCCTCGGATCGTACTACTTTTTTGATAGTTGTAGTCTTCGCTAAATATTATTGTTTCACAATTTAAATTTGTGAAGCGCAACATCGTACAATGTTTTATTTACCCAAGCAAAGCAGGACACGTAAGAATTCTTTTCAATTCTCGTACCCACGAAGTGGAAGATAATTGTCCTGATGTGAGCTACATTGCATTCTGGTGAGACCTGTGCGAGCGATCGGATCGTCAAGCAGATTTGCTGTAGAAGTATTATTGTAAAGGGTGATACGGTCAAAATTTGGTCAAGGGAAAACGCGTGTAAATCGGTGAAATCGTTTATTTAAAAAATCAAATTAAATTTCTTTTTCAAGTTCAATTAGTATAAAATTCAGGAAAAATATTCAGTTAGGCTTCCGCTTTTCCAAATCCGAATTGCCGGGCCTTACGCTTAACCCATGCCATCAGATTTTGTACAGCCACCTTGTCCACCTTCTTCGCCGCAGAAAGCCAGTTTGCCTTGAACTGCTGCTCGCCCTTAGCAGTTTTTTTGGTCTTCTTTAGGTTCCGCTTGACAATAGCCCAGTATTTCTCAATTGGGCGGAGCTCTGGCGTGTTGGGAGGGTTCTTGTCCTTGGGAACCACCTGCACGTTGTTGGCGGCGTACCACTCCATGGCCTTTTTACCGTAATGGCAAGATGCCAAATCCGGCCAAAACAGTACGGAACAACCGTGTTTCTTCAGGAAAGGCAGCAGACGTTTATTCAAACACTCTTTCACGTAAATTTCTTGGTTGACAGTCCCGGAAGCTATGAAAATGCTGCTTTTCAAGCCACAGGTACAGATGGCTTGCCAAACCAGATATTTCTTTGCGAACTTTGACAGTTTCATGTGCTTGAAAACATCTGCTACCTTTCCCCTTCCTTTTGCCGTATAAAACTCCTGTCCCGGAAGCTGCTTGTAGTCGGCTTTGACGTAGGTTTCGTCGTCCATTACCACGCAGTCAAACTTCGTCAGCATCGTCGTGTACAGCCTCCGGGATCGCGCTTTGGCCGTCGTATTTTGTTTATCATCGCGATTTGGAGTCACTACCTTCTTGTAAGTCGATAGTCCGGCTCGTTTTTTTGGCTCGATGCACGGTTGTAGACGATACACCCAGCTTATTTGCAGCATCTCGGAGAGAGAGGTTAGGGTTTCGCTTGAAACTACCGGCAACTCTCTTTGTCGTCTCAGCGGCTTCCGGTTTTCGATTTCCCCCCGATCCAGACTTCCTGGCTGTCGACAAACGTTCCCCAAACACTTTAATTACATTTGTAACGGTTGATTTGGCAACTTTTAGCGATTTTGCCAACTTTGCGTGCGAGTAGCTCGGATTTTCGCGATGCGCGAGCAAAATTTTGATACGCTGCTCTTCTTGCTTGGACGGCATTTTGACAACTGAAGAGTGAATTCCAAAATCAAAATAGGAGCAACATTCTACACACACACACCTTCAAAATGAGGGGTGTTCAGGTTTTTTAAATGCAAAATTGAAAGAAATGCGTCAAGTTGATATTGACCAAATTTTGACCGTATCACCCTTTATGAGCTATTTGTATGCTATGATTTATTGAAAAGTATCAAATACACATTTTTTTTTTAATTAGGCTCATAAAAGGTCGAGTCTGATCGATTTGTCAATAGGCGTGGAACTGCTCTATTCCCTAAAATTATTTGAACATCCCTGAAGATTCTGAACTTCTGAGATCAAAACGCTTTGATGAATTTTGATGAAATTTTTATCAGTTACTCCTAAGAGTATAATAATCCAAACTTTCCAGGTATTCGCTTCCGACCCTTACGAACGCGATGATGCAATTGAAACCTGCGTCCAAATTTAAATTCAACCAGGCTTTATATATTTCCCCGATGGCAAACAACCATTGTTCAACCCATTCAAGCAGTACTAGGAACGCTTTTTGTGTTATTTCTCTGTAGTCGTTGCGATTCGATATCATATTTACCTGTAGTGTGCCAACGCGCGACCCATGCTTGGCTCCGGATTCGGATTCAGGTTGCTACTGGACCGAAATAGCACCAGTGCATGATGACAGCAGCAGCACAGCCAGCACATGGAGGCCAATTTCATGAACAGCAAGGCCAACGACAGCGAAAGGCAAAGCTCGGTGTCCTGAAATTAGTGAGACAAGATATTTTAAGATTTAGTTTATTTTTTTTTTTTGCTCCGTCAATTCAATGCGCCAGAAATCAAATCAGTCTAAGCACCACTACACTGGAAGGAAGGGGAAGAGGGAAACGCGAACGAGCCGTTAGGAAATTGGATGAGACGAGGTCCCACGCCTAAAGTTTCAATTTCAAGCCTGGTGCACGTCGTTCATTGCGGGGGAATCGCCGGAGAGCGGAAGGTCGTAAAAAGCGTAGTGAATAGCAAATTAAAGTCCTCCGAACGCCAATTTCCTGCTCCATTTAGAAGGCGGTGGCCATGTTTGAGAAGGGAACCAATTTCCTGTTTCTGTTTTTATCATTTACGCTTCGGATGCACCACGGTGGAATGAACATTATGGATACTTACAACGGAAAGACGTGGTTCAATGAAGATGGAAAATTAATGCAAATGTTCAATGAACTTGAAGACGTGCTAAAATTAGACACAGCGCACCGTTGGTTGTCGGATATGAAGGTAAACATTCTACGAAACTATAAATTTAATTTCATGAAAGCTAGAAGAGTGAAGTGATACGGAAGGTGAATCAGTTTGTAATTCACTATCGATAAAAGTGACATTATTTTCAATGAACCGCCAAGACAGACCTATCGAAGAAACGGGCAGTAATCAACACTATTTCATCATCCTTGTGCTCCACTTCAAATAAACAAATCTCTTGCCCTCGGCTATCACGTTTACACTTTGAAACGATCTTGCTGAGCGGATCTTAAGTACGTCACGGCTGCGAGTATGTATAACTATAGCTCCCAGCAGCCCACAGGATAAACGGGACAGTGTCGTTCCCCATCGTGCTCATCTTGCGGTGTGGTGGCAGCAGGCACAGTGCTAATGAGAAAAGTCTACAAAAGATGTAATTTTCCGTTTGCGTTGATGAAGTTTTACCTCCACCGGCCCTCGTTCCTCGTTTCCACACTCAGTTTCAAACACGTGTATACATTTCACCGAGCTGGTGTTGCATGATAAGAGAGTGGTGTAATCAACGACGACTGGTGGTACAACTATCTTCCTGCCAGTTGATAAGGAAATCCTCTCCAAGTTCCTCAGCTTTTCAACGCCATCCGCTTGTAATCATACCGACTAATGAGCGCTGGGATAAATGTTGAAAAGTTTTCAATTCTGCTTCAATTCCCAACGGTATCGGCAATGTCGTGTACACTGTAAGTCCCACATCAGACGACAGACGTAGACGTAGCGTGACAGTTGAGTGGACGTAATTCATCACTGCATTGGACGTGGAAATGGCACAGTTTCTGTCATGCATTCCAAGAGTCGCATAGAGCCGGCCTGTCGTGAGGAGAGTCACGAACGGTGAAGTGACATTCCAAAGGACAGATGAGAGGATGATAGTTTTGTAGCTGTTGGGAAAGCGCGATTCTAGTAGGGTGGACCTGGCGATAATGTTACAAATAGGCAAATAATTCAAGTCAAGTACAGACAAACACAGAAGGAAAACCAGTTAATCATTCTTATGGTAAACGTATTGGCAGGTGTACGACTCCCCGTCGAAATCAGCAACATTTGGATGCAACTCACAAAGCGATTGAAGTGTTCTTTGCTGCTCTACTGCAGCTCCAGTCGTGCCAACAAATTCCAATTTGGTGAGGTGGGTTGGTTTCAACTTTAGCATGCAATTTCTCCGATTTGGTTTCACATCACACACGAACTTACACAAAGAACAACAACAATTTACTGCACTCAAACACTACTTAAGCTATCATCACACTGTTTGACAAAACGCCAAATATTTGGGCAAATTTGGCCAAATATATTTGACCAAAGTATAATGGCCAAATATATCTGACCAATTTTTGCTATGGCAAATATTTGACGTGTATTTGACATTTCAATTATTTGGCATTTTGTCATTGTTATTGTTTGTCAAGCATGTTTGCTCGATACTATCAAATAATTTATTTGACACTCCAAAATTTCTTGAATAGCAAACATCAACAAATAATTGTGCAAACACCGGTTCTCGAAAAAAAAAATCTAATTTTTTGTGTTGTGAGCATTTTGATGATGCCAGAAGACTATTCCGGTGCTACTTTCGACGATATGGAGAGTGTTGGAGCTCCAAGTCCAAGTGGGACGTCGAAAAAAGTGACGGCAGAGTGGAGCGAGGAAGCCACTTTAACCTTGATCGCAGCCGGTTATAACAATGGTTATAAGTTGTTGAGGAAGTCAAGATCTTTTCGCTGGTGGACAGTAGTTCAGAGTTTTTCCCTTCGTGGCGCTAGTATACATGTGAATATCTCGCTTATAAAATATCTCTTGATCCTAACCAGATAGAAAGTTACTGTCCAAGACAAAGTTGTTTAGGAAGTTAAGATCTTTTCGTTGGTGTACAGTAGTTCAGATTTTTTTCACTACGTGGCGCTAGTATACATGTTGGTCATTCCAGCTCAAGTGTATACACCACCTGTGGTCAATGTCACCGAATTGAACCAAACTTTGCCATAACGCTTATTTTGACATTCTGAACAAACGACTGTTTTGGTTTTGCTCTTAAGTGCCTGGATCCATCTGGGCTACAACCCTGGATTTTTAAAATTTTTAGGTATGTTATCTTTAAGAAGATATTACTCCACAACCAAGCAAGTTATTTTTGATCTTGGTACGCAATATTGAAGGTATTTTAATTTAGATTTTTATATGTGTACTGACAATACAGTAACTACAGTAAACAGAACGATTTCCGGATGGTATTCGAGTGATCAAAATCTGGGCTAATTTCACCCAGGGCGGGATTCTTTATTTCAAATTTTCACTACTTTTTGGAAAACCCTTCTGATGCGACCTACCTTTAAGAGATTCTGCTTCAAAACCAGATAGATGGCATCCAGGATTTCGGGTATGATGTTTGAAATAGTTGGCTGTGGGATGCGGAAATGGTACTGGAGCGACATGAAGCTTTCGCCGGTCAGAGCCAGCCTTTCTCCGGCTGTAATCGCTTTCCGCATATATGTGTCCTGTTTTTGAATATGCGGAGCTACCAAATCCAACAAAAAGTCAAAATCAGCAGCCGTCTTTCTCACGAAGTTTCGGAACAAATTTGGATGATCGCTCATCAACTCATTCAAAAGGGTTGCATAACATATTTCAGTTTGCCGTTTTTTCTCCCACTCCTGGACCCAAACACTACGAACTTTTTTTTTCGATGCGTTCTCCTCCAGCAACAGATATGCTGGTCTCATAACTGTAGCAAGCTCAGAATAATTCATCCTGGTTATTTTTTCTTCGATTTCAACTTCACAGCAACACAACAACAATCAGGCTTTAGCTGCGAACGAATGACAAAGAGACAACTTAATATATAAATACAAACAGTTGCAAACAATGTGATGACATGTCAAATATATTTGTTGGCCGTTGGTCAATACGCCTTATTTCATGTTTGGCCAAATAATGTTTGCTCAAATATTTGCGAAATTTTATCATAGTGTAATAGCATTGAAACCTTTACAATTGTTACAGAAATCAACAGAGAAAGACATCGAACTGATTTAACGGCAATGACTTTTAGCGCAAAACAACGGACACGAATTGGATCATGGAATGTATTGACGTTAGCCCAGTAGGGTAAACTGGCACAACTCGCCAACGAGGCGCGACGCATGAAGCTAGAAATCCTGGGACTGAGTGAAGTTCGTTGGCCAAACTTTGGAGAACACAAACTTCCGTCGGGACAGGTACTGCCATACTCTGGTATTCGAGGTGAAAACGCTCCCCACCATCGTGGAGTTGGTCTCCTACTTAGCGTTCAGGCAAGTGCTGCGCTCATCAAGTGGGAGCCTGTTAATGAGAGGATAATCGTTGCCAGATTTAGAACACGGGTTCGTAACCTTACCATAATCCAATGTTATGCGCCAACCGATGCTGCCGAGCTACAGGACAAGGAGAATTTTTACAGTCAACTGAATGCCGTCGTGGACAACACGGACTATGAGCGTGTCATGGGACGCCATGGTCTCGGCGAAATGAGCGAGAACGGTGAGCTGTTTGCAGAATTTTGTGGCAATAACGACATGGTGATCGGGGTTCGCCCTTCCCCCATCGGCCAGTGCACAAAGTCACGTGGGTTTCCCGTGATGGACATACCGAGAATCAGATCGACCACATCTGCATCAGCCGAAAATGGAGACGGAGCCTTCTTGATGTCCGGAATAAACGCAGCGCCGACATCGCGTCTGACCATCACCTTTTAATCGGTGAAATCCGCCTACGCATGGCGCGGATCCAGCGACGAGAGGAGAGACTCGGGCGGCGGTTCAACACACGCCGACTTGCAGATCCAGCGGTAAAAAGGTATTTTGTTCATGAACTTGAGACTCGAGCTGCGGACGTTCCAGAAGGTGGCAGCGTAGAAGAACAATGGACGGCCATCACGAATGCCTTTATAGAAACAAGCGAGAACAACTTGGGTGAGCTGCGCACCCAGAGGAAAAAGTGGATCACAGATGAAACCTGGTGGAAGATTGAGGAGCGTAGAGAAGCAAAAGCCGCGATAGAGCGGGCGAGAACCAGAGGAGCCAAGAACGAAGCCCGTCAACGGTACTCGGCTCTAGAGAAGGAAGTCAAGCGCTCTTGCAGATGGGACAAGCGAGCGTGGGTGAACTCCCTGGCCGACGAAGGGGAGAAAGCCGGAAACACTGGCGATATACGCCTCCTCTACGATATCTCACGACGCCTGAGTGGAGCAAGGATGAACCCGAGGATGCCAGTGAAGGACACGACTGGACAATTGCTTACCGACCCCACTGACCAGCTGAAACGCTGGTTTGAGCACTTCGAACAACTTCTTCAAGTTTCGACGGCCAACCAGCCATCAACATCTCGGCATGATCCGCCTAGGGTGCGGCGCATCACTCGCGTCAATTCCGAGGCCCCATCACTGCAGGAGATTGAAGCAGCTATCCGAAGCATGAAATCCAACAAGGCTCCAG